CCTAAAATTTTCCATTTTTTCTCGAGAGCGCCTTCTTTGTGCATCAGCCAGTTACCTGCTTTCCTCTTTCTGGCAAGGGTTAATATTTTATTAACCATAATAATCATGTGTCTGGTTCCCCACACGACATAGGGGATTTTCAACTTTATGCAGCTCTCACTTGCCTTTGCCAGGCATCAAGTGGTATTTTTTCAAGCTAAATGGAGGCTTGCATCAGCCTGCTCCTGGCTCCGTGTCGCACCGTGTTAATGTGTGCGAGCATCTGCTCTGGAGCAGATTGAGAAAGATACAATAAAACCCTGTTAGCACTTGTAACCTTTGTGATATGTGTCCTTGAAAGTGGTGTTGGAGCTTAAAAAAATAATTTGCATTTCAGGCAAATAACAGTCTCATTGTTATTCAACTCATTGGGAAGGAAGGGGAAAGGTGGGGAAGGGAAGGGAGGGGAAGGGAAAGGGTAGGGGAAGGGAAAGGGGGAGGGAAAGGGGAAAGGGAAGGAAAGAGAAGGGGAAGGGGAAGGGAGGAAGAGAAAGGGAGGAAAGGGAAGGGGGGGAAGGAGAAGGGGAAGGAGAATGGGAACAGAAAGGAACCTACAACGATCATCTAGTCCAACTGCCTTACTGATTCAGGTCTGACTGCAAGTTAAAGCATGTTATTAATGGCATTGTCCAAATATATCTTCAACACTGTCAGGTTTGGGGTATCAACTACCTCTCCAGGAAACCTGTTCCGATATTTGACCGCCCTCCTGGTCAGGGGAGGTTTCAATCAGATATTAAGAAAAATAATCTGAGATAAGAATCCACATCAGTGTACACATGATATACTTTCTCCTCACTCCTCCTGACTTCAGTTTGACACAGCAAGGCAGAGAGATAATAAACAAGTTTTCTTTTAATGTGACTGCTAAGGATTTCAGAGTAAGAACACATTTTTAGCAGATGCAGTTGGATTAGAGAATATTTGACAAACGACATGCCTGTGGTCCTTTGAAGTGACTCAGCTGAGTTGCTGGATGCTGCTGGCTACCCATGTGAAATCACAGTTTCTGCTGTCACAAGTGTGATTTACCATCACCATGTCACCAATCTCTTCTGCAAAAGCGCTAATAATATTATGCGTGTTGACATCATTCATTGGATGTAACCCTGTGATGGGTTAACCTTGGCTGGACACCAGGTGCCCACCAAGCTGCTCTATCACTCGCCTCCTCAGCTTTGGCCACTGGTGGGTCCGTCTTGGAGCTGGTGGCGTTGGCTCTATCAGACACAGGGGAAGCTTCTGGTAGCTTCTCACAGAAGCCACCCCTGTAGCCATCCCTCCCTCCCCCCCGCTACCAAAACCTTGCCATGCAAACCCAATACAAACCCATTAATCCTCCTTACTAGAAATTAGGTTTGGCCCTGTAAAACATTTCAATAAAGTTGTTAAAACATACTTTTAACCAGGATGGTGTGATGCAGTTTAACATGGCGAAGCCTAAATACATTTTTTCATGTGAGTGAGGGCCTGGAACAGCTGTGCAAAATTCATTTTGAAAAACTCATGGCCAAACACTTTTTTCAGAATTTGAGAAAATGAGAATGCATCATGTCTAGAAAACCACATTCTAGCCCAAAAGAACGCCTAATGCATCTAAACTAAGAGTTCAGTAGTCACAGATTTCAGCATCATTAAAAATGTCTTCCTCAAAAATACCAAGTCAGAGAGAGATGGGACTTTGTGACCAAGGCTCCCGGCAGGAGCATCTCACCTTGTGTCTGCCACGACAGCAGGGAGGGGGCCAGACCTGTGTTGTTGCAGGTGGCTTCTGGTTGTAGGTACCTTGTTTTCTGGAGACCCAGGGTGTTACTCCTGGGGTCAGGTTCACAGGAGTGCTGCCTGCGCTTCCACCTGCAACTGGGTCACCTGGGGGGGAAGTTATGAGCTGTACCCTCAAAAAATAACAATGACAACAAAAAAAAGAAACCAAACCAGGCAGGTCTTACACATCTCAAAATTTACAACGGAACACACAAGCAGTTTTGATCATTGCAATGACTGTACACCTGCTGGAGATGGGAATGAGAATGCCCTTTTCTTTGCTTGGTATGGGAAGGCCCAGGAAGCCCTGCACATAGTCTACATAAGCAAGTAAACCTGGCTGAAATTGCGTTATCGGTGGAATAAGAAACGCTGAGATCTACAGAACCATGCTTTTGATTTGCTAAGTGTTTGCGAGCTTCTAGGATGGGAGTGATATTACACAGGGCTTGAAGGTAGAAGAGACTACTCAACGGGGAGCAACTCTTGCTCCTCAGGAATCGCCCAGGTGCTTTGCCCTGCCTCACTTTTGGGAAACAAGGAGCAGCTAAGGTGACTTGTCATGTCCGGTCTCATGCTCCTAGGACTTGCCTCAAGTGTTTTGAACTATAGAAAACTCCTAGATGACATGATTTGCTTGCGTGCGAGAAGCACCGATCTCACTGAGTGCAAATCTCCCCCTCACAGAGGATGGTGGATCACGGCCATAGCCTCTCCTAAAGAGACAAGCCGAGGGGTTGTCGAACCTGTAAAACAGCCTGCTTGGAGAGAAGCAGGTTAATGTCCTCCTTTTACTTGGGCGGGGGGAAACTAGGTATGTTAAAAGATGGATTTAGTGCAAGCGCGGTGCAGTTTTCACTGTGAAAAAAGGAAACTCCTCGGTCAGCCTCAGCAGAGGGTGTAACCCCAAGTTTTGTTCTATTTCTGTACAATCTTTCCAGCACCTGATCAGCAAGCACATCAAGCTGTGTACGTCTCTGCCATTAATTAGTACATGCACTAAATGGCGAGCTTAAAAAATCATCCCCAAGGTGTGCTTAAAATTAAACACCCTGAGGTTAAAAAGAAGAGATATAAGAAAAGCTGGCAGTTTTCATTTTCCCACTTACTTTAGACTTAAAAAAAAAAAAAAAAGAGTTACACTTGCAAGTTTTCTTGGCAAGCATGAGAGCAATATATTTGTAAGGAAAAGAGAGATGCTTAGTTTTGTAGTGAGATGAGCTGGAGGGAAATCACAACTTATCTCACCCTGCATGCTGGTATCACAAGGACTGACTGCACCATCTCCGTTTGGGTTTGAAATGAATTAACTGTGGATGGCTCTGAGCAAGGATGCAAATAGGGAACAGGTTTGTCAGAAATTTGGCAAGACGGTTTGTAATGTTCACGCTGTTCCCCTGCTTCTGTTCCCACCATCGGGGGCAAAAATGCCGTTGTTGTCAGCGACACTCACTCAATAAATGGCACGTGGCAGAAAAATAATGAACAGGATGAGCAGCCGCCCATGTTCTGGTCTGGAGATTTATCTGCCCAGGGACTTTTAGGACAGTGGAACGGGCTATGTGAAGTGCGTAGGTTAAGTTATACTTATTACTTTGCTTCTAGGGAGAATTAAGCTAAGTCTAATTGAAGTCACTTAAATCCAGAATGTGAGGGCTCAGATTCCCGGAGTGACCAAAAGATGCTTTGCATCAGGGGCTTTGCCCACAGGCATGCCTCTACCCTACTGCAGTTAATGTAGCTCTCCCAACGCCGAAATCACGTTGCATTACACCGCGAGCCAAACTAGCTTGAATTAGGGGCAATTACCATGGCTCAGCTGGCAGGTGGCCATTTGCCAGCCTGAAGTAACTCATGCCTGAGCCCAGATGCTACGCCTGTCCTTTCACACCTATGCTTTCCTTAGCAAGTGCCCTGAGGTTTAGCTGAGAGAGCTGCTCCCCCAGGCAGAAAAGCAGAGGTGGTGGAGGAGGCCAGGAGGTGAGAGAGGCCGCACGCCGTACAGAGGTACCATCGTGTACAAACCTACGCCTGTTTCAGGAAGAGTTTCAGGATGACAACTAATTATTAAAGAAATGCAGACACCTTAGCAGGGATTTTGCAGTTGGGTGTGGAGCAGCCTGGGCTCCTTCACCTTGGAAGGAGACGCTACGCTGCTGAGGTTGGAGTGTGGTGCCAAGTGGCAGCTGAGCCTAACCCCAAACCTAGCCTGAATCTTTGTTTTCTCCATAAATGGAACTGCGCCTGAACTGTGATTTGGAAATTTTCTTGAAGTGTGAGTTGAATGAGCATTGGTCACAGCTGAACACCATCCAGCATTTAAGCAAAACCCCGTGGTGCTCAGACTTCCTGCAGAGAGGGGAATTTAAATTGCCATAATTTGCATGCCAGCTTGCCAGGAAGAAGACACGAGGTGTGCGATATCATGTGTTTGTCAACCACTTCTCACTGCCTTCCTCTTCAAAATCTTTCCTGCCACACTCTTCTGGGTGGTTATCACATAAGATGTACCACCAGCAGGGACTTTATGGCACTGCCCTGGGTTTCTGTGGCAGGAATAGCCTGGCTTTTCCTCTTGGAGGAGGCATACTTTAATTTTGCTCCATTTTGCTGTTGCTTGCAAAGCCCCTGGTGTTGCAGGACATCACACAAACTCTGTGATCCTGGCCCCTGTTTGCTTGCAGCCTTGGTGGGCAGCCATGGGGAGCTGTGCCTGTGGGCTGGCTTGGAGCGGGCAGGACTAGACCTGGCTCCTTGCTCCTGTCCCAGCCGCCCCAGGGGACACTGGTGGCTCCCCAGAGGGACCCAGTTCTTGTTTGGTGATTTTTTTTTTTCCCCCAGTGAATGTGTTTTCCAGCAGGACACAGCCACACTGGGAGCAGCCTCTGATTTGCCCTGTGCTAGATGCTGCATGTGAGCAGAAAAATGATGGTATGAGAGGTCTTCCCTTTGCTACAAAAAGAGCTTACGAGGAAAAAAACAAAGCAAAAAGAAAAAAAGAGAAGATTGCCATCTGTGTGAGCCACCTAAACCATGCAAACCACAAACAGCCCATGATCCGTCTAATTAGGCTGGGGTCCGGGGAGCACACACCCACCTCAGCCTACAAAAAGCCCAAAGCTTAAGCGTGGGTGCAAAGAACAAATACCAAGTGTGGCGGTGTGACCGCTGGGTGCAGCAGCTGGGCTGAACCCCCTGCAGCGACTGTCCCGGTGAGTTCCCTCCTCTGCTCTTCATGTCTGTCTTTCCTGTGTGCAGCCTCTTTGGAAAGGAAACTGAATTACAAATTGCCTTTTTTTTTTTTTTTTTTTTTTAAAAAAAGCTCATTCGCCATTGAAATCACCCAGTTACAATGATTGTTTTGATTGCAATTTAAGGTAGGTTCGATGGCTAAAAGAAAATGACACAAAAAAGCCCCCCTGGGGATGCGCAGCTCTGCACCCTTCAGCAGATGCTGCAATGGCATTTTGGAAATGGGTACCAGGGAAGAATCAGTAGCTCGCTGCCTGCCTGCTGCTGGCCACGGTCACCTCCGGGTTGTACATGGCAGGTCTCGGCCTCGATAGCCGATTTTTGCACTGTTGTGACGGGCATGAGGCTCTGCTGGTTCGAGATTTCAGCTGAGGGGGTTTCTGAGGCGAGAAGTCACAGAAGGTGGAGGGTGGCGGGTCTGGCGCTGCCGCGTGGCTGGAAAGGATGAGTCACACGCTTAGCGCTGTGATTCCCGAAACTGCTTCCCCCCCCCCAAAATAAGCAAAAGGGGATCAAATTGATTGGGATTAATAAGAAGCCCCTCCTCATCTCAAGTTGCTTGTCAGCTTTTAGCGTGCTGTGAAGGTCACCATAGAAAAGAAGATCGGGCGCTGGCTAGAGCATCTGGAAGCTCGTTGTATCGAACCCCCCGTCATTGTTGTTTCTAACACAACCTGTAACAAGCGCAGTGATAACGACGAAGCAAAACCCCAGCATGAGGCAGCTGCTGTGGTTAGCACGCTGCCTCCCCAGTGCTGCCAGCGAGGTCGTGATGCTTTGCTCCTTGGATGGTAGGGCTCCAGCTTGGCTTTCGGCTACCCCCACATTTACCACGATATGCGTGAGCCTGCCGGTGACGAGGGGGACCGGGGTGGGTGCAGCCTCATTGCCTGTGCCCGGTGGGGTCGGTCACCCTCCCAGACTGCTGCCTGGGCTGGAGCCAGATGGGGATGGGAATGTGGACAGGGATGGGGACAAGGAAAACCCCTTGTGGGACTGTTGCCGCCAGAGACTTTGCTGTATAGAACCAGGTCTGGGAGAGGAGCATTTTCCACTTGTTTCGGCAGACCTGTCCAACATCATTTGTATCTGCATGGCTATGACTGGTCTTAATTTCTACATCTTAGTATTTACATGTGGTATATCTGATTTATAGGTATTGTACAGGTGGTTTCTTTCCGTCTGCTTGCATATTTTTACCGGCGTAAATTCTGCACCATGCTGTAGCATTAATATGATCTGGCCATTTGCTTTCCTTGGTTGTCTGCTTTAAAAAGAAGCATATTTCAAGTTTTGTGCATGAGAAATTCGACTACTATGCAAAGGGTACAGGTGGCATCATTAAAAGCCAGGTATTAAATTTATATCCATACTCGAAACTCCAGGTACAAGCATAATTCTGCATGTAGTTCTGTATCCTGATAGAAAATTTAGAAACTAAGAGCACATAGTTATGACTGCTTTTATTTTTTCAGTCTATTTTTAAGCAAGCACTCTGTGCCAAGATTCATATTATTTTATTGCAAAGATCTCATGCTGCCAACCTTGCTCCTAAATAATTCATATTCATTAAGCTTGCTTCATGGAGATAAAAATGGAAGGATTAGCCCCATATCTGTGTTTTCTGAACACAATCATTTCTAAATAGATGAAAACAACTGCATTAATTTTTTTTTACCAGATTCCGAAGCCCTGCAAATATTTTCTGCAAGCGTTCACTTTGGCACCAAGTGCGGGCGAAGGGACCAAAGGCAGCTGAGGCCAGAGGGTGCCACAAGCACAGAGATGTGGCTGCAAACACACTCGCCACCCCTAAAAGCAGCCACTTACAGTCAACTGGCTTTGCTGATGACTTGCTAACTCAGCTAACCCTAACGCGGGCTGGGGAGGCAAACTGCACGCTGCATCAGTTCGTGCCCCAAATAATATGGGGGACAGTACTTTTAGTCAGCATGCAATGAGCAACCAGAGAGAAGCCAGAATGTGATGGAGGTGGTTCAGCTTTGTCCAGCTGTTGCTGCAGTGAGAGGCTTGGCTCTGGGAGGTGACCTCTTGGTTGCATGACCTGCTTTTGAAGGCACTGATGTCCGGAGGAATGCTCTGTGCTGGCTGAAGGCCTCCGGTAGCGCTGACGGGACCCACCTCGCGTTGTCCCTGGGCTTCATCCCCAGACACTGGCATAGGCGGGCTCGTGCAGAACACATTGACTGCTTAGGAGTGCATGACTCGCATCAAGCCCACCAGCTCAGCTACCTTTTGTGATGGTAGACTGACTTGAAAAGCAATCTGCAGCAGGAAAAAACAGTATTTTCTCATTTACCGGGGCGTAATGATCTGCTTTGCAGGCCAACAGCAATGAGCATCGCACTTAAACTCACACATAAGAAAGAGATGTTGCAGGCAGAGATTATCAGCCACTGCAGAGGTTGCAAATATTTTAACACTGCAAACTACTACTAACGGCAGGTACTTTTCCTTGTTAGTTGCTAGACGATTTAAAAGATAGGTTTCATTTATTCTCATGAATCTTTTGGAAGATATGGTGCTTTCAGATTACTTTCTTTTTTAATGTGTGCACTGGGGATTCTACATCTTATTAAAAATGAGATCGCAGTGACTCCAGTACATCAAAGGACTTAGTGAGCACAGTGCCATAGAGAAGCCCAAGACCTAATGTAGGCTAAATGTAAATTTGTAAAAATTGAGACAGCTAAATAATTCAAAGCAATTTATGTGTGGTTTGTTTGTCTCCTGGTCAGGGTTGCTTCAAAGGGTTGAGGTTTTTATTAAAAGCAGAAGAAAAAGAGGAATAAGAAAGAACAGGGTCACAGTTCTACTTTCTCATCAGTTGTTTTCCCCCCATCTTTCCTCTCCAGGTTACAGAGCCTCCTTCAAGACTGCATAAAGATCTGGCTGAAGATGGCAGATGCAAGCGTAGTGAGTATACCGCTACGCTGCTGTGTAACTGGCGTTTTTCTTTCCCCCCTCTTTGCCTCCACCAGTTTTCTGCCTCTCTCAAGCCAACGGTGCTGTTGCACCACAGCAATAACGCAAAGCCTTCTTCCCCACCTCTTTGCAAGCTGGGGATTTTGCTTTTTTGTTATGTATTTGAAGCTGCCAAGCCAACAGTGTTTTGAATGATCTGACAGAGCTAATGCTCTCACCACCTGCCATTTTAATAACCGAAGTTGGCGGGAGGCCATGAACTACTCTTTTGTAAAGAGTTTGTTACTCATTTTTATAAATCTCTGCTGTGTTACACACCTCAAGCCGTCTGAAACGCACTGTGTTTCGTTGGCAGCCTTTGTGCTTTCACATCTAAGATGGAATATTTTGGGGATCTTCAACTGCATCTGGTGGAGAGGGGCAAATTTACACTTTACTGAGCCACCCCTCAACACAAATTTACCGGATGTCCCATTGCAGGTCACCCACCCTGGCAAGACCAGCCTGGATTACTACAGGAATGACAGCACAGTGCTGTCTCTGTATGGAAACCTGGTGAACGACACAGACTTGACGTGCGACAAGAGGCAGGTCAGGCAGTTTGCTCGAGCCTTCCTGCCAGTGTTTTTCTGGCTCATCTTCTCTGTGGGCACCATGGGAAACGCCTTGGTCGTGCTCGTCTATTGCAAATACCGCTTCAGGAGGAGTGTGATGGATCGGTACCTGCTGCACTTGGCCATTGCGGACCTGCTCCTCCTCTTCAGCCTCCCCTTCTGGGCCAAGGCTGCCTCCGATGGCTGGATCTTCAAGAACGTCATGTGCAAAGTCGTCAACAGTATGTATAAGATAAACTTCTATGGCTGCAGCTTGTTTCTAACCTGCATCAGCTTTGACAGGTACATCACTATCGTCCAAGCGATGAAAGCCAGAACGTCTAAGCGAAGGCGGCTCCTGCGCAGCAAACTCATGGTCTTGGCTGTCTGGCTGACGTCTGTGAGCCTGTGCATCCCAGAAATCATGTACAGCCAAAGCATGCGGGTGGGTGATGTAACAGTTTGCAAAATTACATACCCACCAAACGTCAACATGATCTTCGGAGTTACTGTCCTGGCCTTGAAAGTCACAATCGGATTCTTCCTCCCACTCCTTGTCATGGTTATTTGTTACACCCTTATCATCAACACACTCCTGCAAGCCAAAAGATCCCACAAGCAGAAATCGCTGAAGATCATCACCGTGATCATTACCGCTTTCCTCTTCTCCCAGTTCCCGTACAATATTGTTTTGCTGGTCAAAACCATCAACACCTATGCCAGGGTGGCGTACAGCTGTCAGGCTGCTGACCGGCTGGACATCGGACTGCAGGTCACCCAAGGCATCGCCTTCCTCCACAGCTGCCTCAACCCCTTCCTCTACGTCTTTGCTGGGGAGCGGTTCCGGATGGCGCTGGGCAGGATGATGCAGAGCGGCGGCGGCTGTTGGAGTGGGGGCCAAGAGCAGTGCTCCTCTGCCTGCGACAGCCAGGAGCACAGCTCAAACTGGTCCTTTGCCATGCTGGGCAAACGGCGGGTGAGAAGCTCCCTGACCCTCAGCACCCACTTGACCTCCTCTGTTATGCCCCCACCTTGCCAAGACCTCTTGTAAGTTAGTTCCCCCCTCCCCCTCACTGGAGGAGCACCCAACTCTTTGGAGACTGTCCGTATACCCCAAAGACCGTCCCAGCGGAGCAGGGAGGGCTGGGGGCTCCTCGCACATCCCGTCCTCACTGTGCAGGACCCAGCCTGGGCTTGCTGGCTGAAAGGAAGAGAAACTTTTGGCACAGGGCAGCACAATGGAGCCATACGTGCAAGCAGAACCGATAGAGGTTGAAAGCTATCTTTCTGACAGCTGTAAATACCCGGCCCATCTGCGGCTCAGACCACAGCCTGAAATAACAAGCCTTGCAGGGAGGTGATAAGCCCAGCTACGGCAGCAAGAGAGGCAGATGAAGGGGGACGAATTGCCCATCCCGTCCATAGGAAGCAGCAGGAGGGGGTTCGGCCTTTGCTGTCCAGCCAGGGTCTCATACAGAGGTGGCTGGACTCGGGCCCCCTGCCTGCACCTACACCAGGTCCCCTCTGCTGTAAAGGAGAACAGCCTTTAGCTCCTAGGGCAGGCAAATGCTGCTCTGTGCCTGCACAGACCCCGTTTTGCTGCATGCGTGGTTCTTCTTGCAAAGGAAAGCCGATCGTTCGTCTTCATAAAGTGGTCATTACAGAATTAGATCTATCTTTCTCCTATATTTTAGCTGCATGGTGTTAGATGAAAATGGGCACAATTTTCGCACAATTCGCAATAAACATCCCAGGCTGTCAGAGTCACTGAGTTCTCTGTCCTGGAGATATTTGCTATATGGTGCAAAGCCATAGCAAACTGGAATGCAAAAAACAAACCTGTGGTTCAACAGACCACTGATTATGCGCTGATATCTTTGCTAACATTGAGAAAATATATTTAGCCCGTGGTCAGTAAGACAGAGAGTAATTAAGTGTCAAACCTAACATTACAGAAGTTTGGATTGAGACTTCAGGTTGGTGGAGGCAGCAGTTCCCAAAAGCCGTGCGGTGTAATGCACCCCACAACTCCTACAGGGCTTTCAGCGTGCCGGCATTGGTGTCGAGACCACAGGGCACCGCGTGGCCGTTCCCCCTCGTTCGTCCCCTCCGGGGGACACGGCATCGTCTGTCCTGCCTGACCACAGCCTGCACCTCGCAGTCTTCAAGTGCAAGTTGTAGTGCTCAGGAGGCTTTGTTTTAAATAACCCCATTTAACCTGGTTTGCCTCCTGCTAATTATTTCTTGCAGGAAGAAGGTGTTTTCATTGTGCATTAATCATTAAAGCGTGTCCATACACACGAGCTTTCTGCAAGGGTTGGTGCTGCTTTTCGAGCTAATAGGGTACCTCTGGGCATTTGGGGTTCTAGCTTCATATATGTTTATTAGGATTTTTTAAAATGTTTTTACCTTTCCCTTAGGGAAAAAAGGGTGAAAGATGTATGTATATTTTACTGTAAGTGTGAGAAGGGTTTGGGGCGGTTTTTGCCGTTTGTGTCGAGCTCACTGCAAACGGAAGCTGAAATTCTGTTAAATAAAGGCACTGCCACATACCCCGAGAGGATGAACTGGTGGTTTCTTGCCCACACATCCTTCCCAGGATTGGATCCGTACACATAACCTATTTCCAATGACAGGATTTGCCTCTCCCGAGAACGGCCAGAGGAAAACCTTGCTAACAGGGCTTACTATGGGTATCTAAGCCTTGGGGTGAGGAAGTCACAGCTGAGGACCCCACAGGAACCAGAGGGGGTTTCGGCTCCCAAAGCAATGGGTGGGGTGCAGTTTTGGGAGCGAGGGCGAGTTTCTGAGGGCGTGGGAGGAGGGCAGACACTTCCCCCCAGGAGCTGAGCCCCACCGCCCCTTCCCAGGGTCAGGGACAAGGGTGCTCCTACCCAGGAGGTCCTCCCAGCCCCCAAAAGCCCTCGAGCAAGCAAATGCGCAAACATTGAGTGCTACCAGCCAGTGGTCCTACTGGTGGCCTTGAGCTCCTCTTCCCTGCATGGTGTCCTGCCGGCCCCGAGAACTTGAATTTCGGGGCCTTCTCAATGAAGGTAAAAGCTCCTTTGCTCCACAAAATATGGTGGGAAATTTTCATTCTTGGTCGGTGAGTGAAACTGCTGAGGGTGGTGAAACGGAGATGAACTTTCAGAAGTTTGAGGTGTCAGGGTCATCCCCAGGTCATGCATCTCCTGCTCTGAGTCAAGCTGCTCTCTGCTGCTTTGCTGAGGAGAGCTGGGGGACCAGCACCCCCTCAAGGCGGGTTTTCCCTTGTGGGGTCTGTCCTGCCGTGACTGCCTGTGGTCCAGCAGCCTCTGGTGGTTTCCCAGGCTGCCAGTGCCCTCCAAACTCACTGCCTCCCTGTGGCCCCTCTGACTGCAGCCTCATCCTCAGTGGGGTCCCTTGTTGCTGGCCACCACACAGCAGGGACTCAGTCATCATAGAATCATAGAATAATTTGGGTAGGAAGGGATCCCTAGAGGTCATCTAGTCCAACCCCCTGCAGGAGCAGGGACACCGCTAACTAGATCAGGTTGCTCAGAGCCCCGTCCAACCTGGCCTTGAATGTTTCCAGGGATGGGGCCTCCACCACCTCTCTGGGCAACCTGTTCCAGTGTTTCACTACCCTCATTGTAAAGAATTTCTTCCTTATATCCAGTCTAAACCTACCCTGGTTTAGTTTAAAACCATTACCCCTTGTTCTGTCACAGTTGGCCCTGCTAAAAAGATTGTCCTCATCTTTCCTATGGGCTCCCTTTAAGTACTGAAAGGCTGCAATAAGGTGTCCCCACAGCCTTCTCTTCTCCAGGCTGAACAACCCCAACTCTCTCAGCCTGTCCTCATAGGAGAGGTGCTCCAGGCCTCAGATAATTTTTGTGGCCCTCCTTTGGACCCGGTCCAACAGTTCCATGTCCTTCTTGTACTGAGGGCTCCAGAGCTGGATGCAGTACTCCAGGTGAGGTCTCACCGGAGCAGAGTAAAGGGGCAGAATCACCTCCCTCGACCTGCTGGCCACTCTTCTCTTGATGCAGCCCAGAGTACGGTTGGCCTTCTGGGCTGCCAGCGCACATTGCCGGCTCATGTCCAGCTTTTCATCCACCAGCACCCCCAAGCCCCTCTTGGCAGGGCTGCTCTCGATCCTTTCTTCCCCCAGCCTGTGTTGATACTGGGGGTTACCCTGACCCAGGTGCAGGACCTTGCACTTGGCCTTGTTGAACCTCATGAGGTTCACACAGGCCCACCTCTCCAGCCTGTCCAGGTCTCTTTGGATGACATCCCATCCTTCTGCTGTGTCAATTGCACCGCTCAGCTTGGTGTCATCTGCAAACTGGCGGAGGTTGCACTTGATCTTGCTGTCTAAGTCATTGATGAATATATTAAAGAGCACTGGTCCCAGTACGGACCCCTGAGGGACACCACTTGTCACCTGTCTCCATTTGGACATCGAGCTGTTGACCACTACTCTCTGGATGCGACCATCCAACCAATTCCTTATCCACTGAACAGTCCACCCATCAAATCCATATCTCCCCAATTTAGAGAGAAGGATGTTGTGGGGGACCACGTCAAAGGCTTTACAAGAAGTCCAGATAGATGACATCCATTTTTTTTCCCTTGTCCACTGATGCAGTCACTCCATCATAGAAAGCCACCAGGTTCGTCAGGCAGGACTTGCCCTTGGTGAAGCCATGCTGGCTGTCTCAAATCACCTGCCTGGTCTCCATGTGCTTTAGCATAGCTTCTAGGATGATCTGTTCCATGATCTTCCCAGGCACAGAAGTGAGGCTGACAGATCGGTAGTTCCCAGGGTCCTCCTTTTGACTCTTTTTAAAGAAGGGCACAATGTTTCCCTTTTTCCAGTCCCCAGGGACTTCACCTGACTGCCATGACTTTTCAAATATTACGGAGAGGGGCTTGGCACTGGTCATGGAGTTGTTTGCTGCCATTACCCCCTCTCCCGTCTGCTGGGGGCCTTTGTCTGCCAGCAGCATGGCTCCTTGTGGCCAAGCCCTCCCGGGGCTCCTCTGTTCCTCTGCCCTGAGGTTTTAGCTGGATTTATCCCACCAAAATCTCTCTTGTGCCTCCCTAGGATGTCCCCAGCCTTCAGCTGGTGCTCTCTCCCGGGAGGGGAGGTTTCCTCAAAGGCGAGGGGCATTGCCTCCCCTGCCCTAAGGCCCCTCACACCTCCCGTGGGATGCTGCCTGCACCTTACCCAGAGCTCCAGCAGGACAGTCACCCAGCAGTTGTTGGGAGCCCTGGGAGAGGCCTGAGATCTTAGATGGCTCCCCTCTCCTTAAGGCCATTTTCCCCCCGATGTTCCCAGTTTTGGGTTGCAGTCTCCTCCGCTGTCCCTTTTCTTTGAAGGAGCAGCTCAGCTTGTCTCTGCCCTGAGTGTTGCAGCGTCACCCTGAGACCCTTCAACTCAAAGTCTCCACCTCAGACTTCTGAGAGGCTGAAGTGTGTCAGCACCCCAGACTTTGCCTAGGTGGGAACTGTGCCAGACCTGTCCGCTGGCCTAACACCCCCAGGCTATGCAAAGGCTGGGAGCTGTGCCGTAGTGGGGATGGCCACGGTGGTAGCTTCGGGTTGTCGTCGATTCGCTACGGTGAAGAGCTCGGAGGCAGCAGTCACACAGCACGGCGCCAGCCTACTTGTGGTGTGAGGAGAGGAAGTTGAGAGAGGTGATGAGAAACTTTCACTCTCTGCAGGCAAACCCACCTAATGGGTGCCTGCTCCTGCCTGAAGCAGGGGCGCACTTTATAGAAGCGCCTCTTCCCGAGAGCGGAAAAATGATGGAAAGGTGTGAGGGAATGATGATGGGTGCTGCAAGAATCACTGAAGTCACGCTAGGTAAAGTACCCCAAACCCAGAACCGTCGATCTGAGCTCAGTATGTGCAAACCCACCATCTCCAAGCATGATCTGGATCGATTACCCAACATTTAACTGTCCAGACACTGTAGTCCCACTGCCCCCCAAGTGCTGCCTGATTTTTCCAAGCCTCCTGGGCCACATATGCTTTTAAACCTTATATTTGGAGTTCAGAGCATCCCTGT